TCAGCCAAAGAACTATTTTAACTACTTTCTTTTAGAATTACTTGGCGACTTGGCATTTACTAACTGCTGAGCTATAGCAATCATAAGGGTAATTGAGCTCAGCATTTGTCTGTATTATCTTGGGTAAGTGTCAGCATTATCGTTTAACTTATCATTTGTCGCTTGTCTGGTTTAACCTAGCTACAATCGCATTACCATGTAATTTCATCTTAAATGAAGATTTGACTTTTTCAAAGAAATAAAATTATTAGATTGACAAGTGTGTAGTGCCAGTTAACAGATTTCTAATCCTCAGGTCACCCAATGAACTACTTTCATTACTTTCTTTTAGAATTTCTTAACGATTTGGCGTTGACTAACTGTCTAGCAGGATCGTTGAACTCACCATGTGTCGATATTAGCGTTGGATGATTGTCGTCATTATCGTTTAAATTACCATTTGTCATTTATCTAGTACAACTTAGCTACGAATGCATTGATTGACATGTAATTTCATCTTAAATGAACATTTAACTTTCTTGGTTTGCCTCTTCCAACCCCTTTGATGAATCATGAATGTACTGCTAAGCATATTACTTCCTCCCTTACCATAAGATCTCATAAATTTATGAGGATTATATTCATATTTGCTCATTAAATAAAGTTGTATATATGGCTACTAATTAAATTGGTTTCCAAGCATTTAGATGTAGGAGGATTCTTGATTTCATTACCTTAATGCAGTCTTTCAATGGTTTAAGTTTAAATTAAGATACGACAAATTTTATTTTATTTTCCAAATGATAAGAGAGATTTTATTGATAACAAAGAATAAGGTTTACATCTTTAGCAAAGATTCGACATTGAATTGGCAAAGATATTATGACCCCATATAGGGTATGAAAATGAACCTTAAAAAAAAATGGCCCAAGCCAAAAAGGAAAGAAAAGGACAACCAAAGCTAACCTTTTTTTTTAGTGATTTTGCTAAATTAATGACTGATTTTCAAATGCTTAATAAGCACCACTCTTTCTTCTTGTGCCATTTATTAGGTGACATGTTTTCCATTTTTTATTACTGCGGCTGAAATTTTCCCAATGGAAGGTAGAAAGAAACTTAGAGAGTGACTGATTGACTACGAATTTACAAAATTAATTATGTCCATTGTCCAATTAAATCCTCTTACCTGCGAGACTCTGACACATATCCATAATCCCCATATTAAAATGAAAGTTAATTAAAAAAAAAAATAGAAAATAACAAGGTATCTCAGGGCTCAAGTGACCAACCAACCATCACTGTCAAAGTCACGTGCAGCGTTCAACTCATGAATGATGATGATGATGATGATGATGACTGATGTTTTAAACCTGGATGTTTCTGATTCTTAACAAGCAGAATGATATGCTTCTGTTAAGGAAAACGGTGATAATCTGCCATATCCGAATGTACAGAAACTGTTGGATAAAAAGTGAAAAAGATAACTTCTGCTTTTGAAAATCTTTTTTTTTATTTTCCTTATTTTTTTACCGATGACATAGGAACGGAAACTTCAAGTGCAGAGATAATTGTTTTGCAAAAATCAAGGTTTTAGAGGCTTAAGATTAAGCATAATGACATGATAACTTTTGTTACATACTGTAATCATGGGTCCCCTGCATTATGATTTCATCAATTCTTAACAACAACAAGATGAGGACCCTTTTGTTTACAAGTCAATTATAGCTGATAAGGAATAAGGTTGATTCAGATTGATGAAGAAAGATAAAAACAAAGACAGGAAAAGAAAAAAAAAAAAAAAGAAGAAGAAGAAAATGGATTGGATGCTCTGTTTCTTTTTTGTTTTTTGCAGAAAGTCTTTAATGTAAGACAAACTATAATATCCTCCATTGGACAGACTGTAAGTAATACTATATGTGGTCCTGGTTGACCATTATAAAATATTGCAAGGTATCCAGTTGTTTTATGAGTACATAAATTCTTATAATTTGTTAAGTTTCAAATTTGACAGAAACTTACAATTGACTAGAGGTTAAAACTAAGGAAAAAGAGATTGAGAATTATATAAATTATATGATGCAGTGGATGATTGCCACAGATTATGTATGCATAATAATAAGAGTTTGATGAAAAAAGAAAAAAAAAAAAAAAAAAAAAAAAAAAAAAAAAAAAAAAAAAAAAAAGAAGAAGAAGAAAATGGATTGGATGCTCTGTTTCTTTTTTGTTTTTTGCAGAAAGTCTTTAATGTAAGACAAACTATAATATCCTCCATTGGACAGACTGTAAGTAATACTATATGTGGTCCTGGTTGACCATTATAAAATATTGCAAGGTATCCAGTTGTTTTATGAGTACATAAATTCTTATAATTTGTTAAGTTTCAAATTTGACAGAAACTTACAATTGACTAGAGGTTAAAACTAAGGAAAAAGAGATTGAGAATTATATAAATTATATGATGCAGTGGATGATTGCCACAGATTATGTATGCATAATAATACATGAATAATACATGGAGGAACCAGATCTCAGTATGTGATCAAATCCTCTCTGTTACAGACAGATTTTCCTTTTGGTGCATAATACTGGACATTGCCATCCACAATGCCTTGTCTAAACTTGTTTGTACATTACTGGAGAGAGAGAGAGAGAGAGAGAGAGAGAGAGAGAGAATAGTTGATAAGAAGTTTATTGTTTGATTTGATGGGGATGGGATTATTGTACTAAACCCTAGGGAGAGAAACTAATTTTGTGCTTGGCACTTAGGCTCAGAAACTCCTCCATGTAGAGGAGGAGGGGCAGAAGAATTAATGCACAGAAGGACATAGGAAGCCACATGTTGGTTTGCAGCAAACAAAACCCATAGACCCATACCCAATCAGCCTACAGGAAGTGGGCCCAGGGCTGCAGAAGTTCTTATGAATCCAAATCTCCATTCTGGGCACTGAGATTATGTATGGTTGGGGACCAATGTACTTGTTTCAATGGTGTTAATGCTAAAACTTTCTGTACTTGATTGACCAAAAAACAAACTTTCTGTACATTTCAAATCCAATTCTCAAGCTTCATGACCTGAAACTAGTTTGCAGTAAAAAAAGATATCTTTATCCCAGATGGGTATTGTTATGTGATTGTAAATTGGTAACATTCTGAGTCTTGAAGATACATTTTTGTTTTTGTGCTAAAGAGAAGATAAATTCATACCAAGAAAGGGGCTCTGTCCAGATGTTGGTGGAGTTGTTATGAGGCTATGAGACATGAGGCCCCATTGGTCAGTGAGATAGTGGAGGGGACCAAAGCATGTTTACCAAGGGGTGGTGGAAATAAAACTTGTTTTACTTGGTGAGTCTCATACCAAAGACTTGGGATTCTTAATAAATCTTTGATTAATAGGTTGCAAAAGTCAGTCCATGTGAAATTTCTAGGATTCTCATTAGTGAAAATAAAATATTTAGAGGTTCTATGGGACCACATAATGTGGTGCCTGCAGGCAGAGCCTGGGCTGGGGCACTAATGCAAGAATATATTTTCTGTATATATTATGACACAAATTTCAACCCAGATTTGCATACATATAGTCATAGCATATATGTGCAAGGCAGGAAGAGGTGGGTTTGAGTCTCTATCTGTTGTTTTATTGACCAGAAATAAACTATTTTTTTCTACGAGCGATATTGGGGAAGGAGAATTGAATCTAGAATCTCAGGTGCATAAGTAAATGCTTTTAGCCACTTGAACTGCAAGCCATTTACGTACATAAAGGAACTATTATTGTAGAAGAAAAAAATAGTTAGCAGAGTAATTGCATAAATCTAAGCAGTTGAAGCCAACTGAAGTCCATGTGCATATGCCCTTTTTGTTTGGTGACCTAACTCAAGACCATTTGTACGGAAGGTTGAGATGACTCCGGTTCTTGCTTGCTCCAACTACCACCACCTTGAAGATATTTATGGAAAAAAACAAAGGAAAGAAAAAGGAAGAAGAGTCTTTTGCACCTTCCTTCCACCTGCAATGGACAAGAAGAAGATGATGATGATGATGAGACGGGCTGCCCTTTATTTCTCAACAAATCTTTGACTGCTGCTTTAAGGACTCAAAGTGCTTGAAATTTGAAATCATTAAATAAATATACTTTGTGATCTTCCAACGCAAATGATTAGGGGGCACATAATTGTTATAGGGCCCAAATTTTAACGGGTTGTTCATGCAATCTGTATCCAATGCAGCTGACTTTGGGGAGGGGGCGCTCTGTATTTGTATGGAGGGTGGAGAGCATCATTTTTAGTCATTGGAAAGCTCCTTTAGTGTCTAGTTCCGGAGGGACAACAATATGGTCATGTGTTCCAAGCCTCATTTGTTTTTTGGTTTAGGGAGTGATGCAATCTGTAAACTATATAAAAGCACTTCCTCAAAATTTGCTTTCTAGGAATTAGCTAATGGCATGCCAATGTGAATCTTTGTGGCGGCTTCGCACTCCTTCGCTATGCTACTCCTATTTTCATAGGGTTACTAGGGGCGGCCACGGTGCGATTGCCGAATTTAATACAAAAACCCTCCACCATTGAACTGATTAAACTTATTTCTTTTATGTGATGGCAACTGGCCAAGCACAATGACTTGTTCTTCTAGGTAAAGGATGAGAAATTATTTTTCACCCGCCATCAGGCAGGGCCGCAAGTTTAAATGACCACATGAGCCTAATCCAAATAATTCGATCAGCCTGGCCCAATGCTTAAGCTTTCTCTGTGGGTTATTTTTACCAAGGGCTTGGCCCAAAAACAAGTCAACGACATCAAACCAAGAGAAAACGACATCGCCAGAGACTGTTGATTTCAGCTCTAATAGATAGCCCTTCAATATATCTAACGGACGAGATTGCGATATGGATGGAGGAACACTAAAGCTGAGCCGCACGTCACACAAACTCTTGCTCATTCGTATCTGGGAATATCGTGGAGGTCGGTAGAAACACTTTCCGACTGCCACGTCAACTCTCCTTCTCTTTTTGTTATTTTTGGCAAGTAAAGTCTCCCTTCTCTTACACGCCGTATTCAACCCCACTTTCCTATCTCTCTCTCTCTCTCTCTCTCTCTCTCTCTACTGAAATCTAGGGCAAGAGTTCCTGCTTTAAACCATGAATGCGTTCAGGTTGGCTGGGGATATGACCCACCTGGCCAGTATTTTGGTCCTCCTTCTCAAAATCTACGCCACCAAATCATGCTCAGGTATGCACATTTCTCCCCTTTCCATTCTCAGTTCTGTTTGTTTCCTGGGAAAACGAAGGAAAATTCTAAGGAAAAATGAATATCATTGTTTTCCCCACTAAAGATTGCTCAAAGTGGAAAATTTTACTCAGTAATGCGAACCACATTTTATCTGAATCTGTTTCGTGTTTTCTTCTTTCGGCAACCAATCGGTGCATTAGTGCTTAGTGTTTGGTTGCTCAGAAACGGAAGAGAAAAGGATAAAGGAATAAACTTTGTGAAGATTTTTAGTTTCTTCAGCTTCCCAATTTAGGAAGACTATTAAGTTAATTTGGAACTAGAACAATTTTAAGTTAATTCTCCTTGAATTGGAAGTGGTGATCTGAAGTTTTGAGAAACTGATATTTGCTTATTATTATAGGGGTTTCGCTTAAGACTCAGGAGCTCTATGTGCTAGTGTTTCTGAGTCGGTACTTGGACCTGTTCACGAACTTCGTCTCAGTATACAACACTGTGATGAAGCTGGTGTTCATTGGAAGCTCGCTGGCCATTGTTTGGTGTATGCGGATGCACAAAGTGGTGAAGCGATCTTACAATAAAGAGCTTGACACTTTCCGCCATGATTTTCTTCTTGGGGGATGCTTTGTGTTGGCCCTCCTTATCCACGAGGAATTCACATTTCAAGAGGTGACATTATTGATGTATTCATTATTGTGTTGTCATGTTGTGCTTGTGTAGCTGTGATGGCTTAAACTTATTGTACACCTTAGTTGCTACTCATGGATCTAGTGTGAACTTTAAAACAAACCAGCCAAGGTGTTCACTTTACATCGGTCCGAAACTAAATCACAAGCTGGAAAACCCCAACTTGACTTATCCAATGTTGCCTCTAGTGTTAGTTTTAATTCTTAACAATTGAAGTTCCATAATGATAATTATCTAATTTCGTGTACTGATGTAAGTTTTGGATGGAACTCATATACTTGAATGTAAAACCTACTTGTCCGTCTTGTTCTTATGTACTTGTAAAACTATTTTCAGGTTTTGTGGGCATTTTCCATATACTTGGAGGCAGTTTCAATTCTTCCGCAGTTAGTTTTGTTACAGCGAAGTGGAAATGTAGACAATTTGACAGGACAATATGTTTTCTTACTTGGGTAAGTATATCTATTTCTATTATAAGGTCTGTGATCTGCTTGACAGGACAATATGTTTTCTTACTTGTCCTGTCAGATAGATTTACTTTCCTCAATGCTGGGTGTACTCGTTAAGTACTTGTCGCATGTAATGGATTATAAGTGTCTAAATTTTTTTAAATCTCAATTTGTATCAAGAATATAATTGAGTAGTCCTAATTTGAAAATTTCAACTTGTACCAGTCAACTTTAGTTTATAGCAATATTTGGATAATGCTTGGAATTTGTGGAAATTTGTTGTGTTTCAGACCATAAAATTTCCTTTCCACATACCAGGGGTTAAGATTCATCTCCAAGTTAGTGTATTGTCAGTGTCACTTTAGAGGTGTGAATAAATTATGGAGAGTTTTGGTTCCTGCTTCCTTGAATGATGCTGATTTTAATGAAATCAAGAAAACCAAACAGATTCAGCAGTTTGGACCAGATAAAATATCGGCAGATGGTAGATATATTCGTATTTGTGTGCAAGTATAATTCATCTTGGGATATATGTTTCAAATTGCAGGGCCTATCGTGCATTGTACATACTCAACTGGATCTACCGCTACTTCACAGAACCTAAATTTGGTAGATGGATAGGTAAGTTATGCGAGAACCTTTGAGGACATTTTCACGGGGCGTTATTGCTGTTTGTAGTGTTTGGCCAACTTCTTTCCTTTTACAATTTTGCAGCTTGCATTGCTGGTCTGGTCCAGACAGCTTTATATGGAGATTTTTTCTACTACTACTTTCGCAGGTAGCAAATCGTGACACCTTCGTCCCAATGATCGTTGTACATGTTTGTAGATTGTTAACACTAAAAACGTGTTTGTTTTGCAGCTGGAAGAACAATGCAAAGCTTCAGCTGCCAGCTTAAGCCAAGGAAGTGTTCTTTATTTTTGCATCTGAATTTTGTACACCATACGATAAATCTAGTGCAGGATAACTCTGCTGGAAGAAGCGCGTACGGATCATGTAGTTTCAGATTAGGATGGCAACCCTGTCCGTAAAAGAGGGAATAGTTAGTGGATTTTGGGTGCCCTAAACGTAGGTAAGATTAATACCCATGTCCATTGTGAGTTCATCTCGAAGTGTCAGTTTTATCACCTTGTAAAGATGTTGGAAGCATTAAAAAAATTGCAGACATGATGTTTATTACAAGTCTTTACTCGCAACATTTGTAATATTGTGCACTGTGCCCCTTCTATAATAAGGGGGCTATATATTGAGGGTTACAATCAGGCCGTCTAATAATAACTTAGTAATTGATCCTTTAAAAAAAAAATACTTCTCTTATTGAGAGGTGATGGTATGCTGAACGCACAAACACAACACGGATATCAGACAAGGCCCATAACGTCACAACTCTCAATCGCAATCCTAAGATTAGCCATGCCAACTGCCCATCATAATGATTGGACATGTAGGAAAACAGACAAGGCCCAATTAGAAAATAAAATCAGACAAAAATAAAAATCAAATGTCAGAAAGATAAAAAGTCGAGAGAAAGTTCAACAAAACCCCAAGACACGTCACGCTGCTCAAATGAGCGTCACACACGCGGCTGTAGAGGATTGACTAGTCGTCGTGGCGTACGCTGACTGTGCATGCGCCACGCCAAATTTGAAAATGCGGACGAGTGGGTGAGATTTTTCTGAGCCCGGCTTCTTCCCCTTCCCTCTTCTACTTGTTTCTTTGCCTCGGACTCAGAGCCTGAGTTTTCATCTCTCTCTCTCTCTCTCTCTCTCTCTCTCTCTGAGGTAAAACTCAGTTTTCCTGTTTTACATGAATCGTTATATAATTGTTTCGGATAGTTCTGGAATTTCGATGGTCTCTGAGCCATTTTAAAGGGTTTTTGTTCAGATTTGCTAAAGTTGATTAAATTTGATCCTAGATTATATGATTTGTATGGCAAGCAACAAGAAGTGAATGCATGAAGAACATGAAATCTGAAGCTAAACATTATTTTACCAACTATTTATTGGCTTAAGCATGACTTTACTCTGTTTTAGTGCACCAAAGCCTTGTATTTCATGCTGTATAAGTTTATTTCTTCCTGCTTAGGTTGAGCGAAGCGAGTTGCAGACCATGTAAATAATTTAATTTTTTTAACTCTCATGTTACTGACTTGTACGTTGTGCCCGCTGCATTTGGTTTTATTCTTATTTTATGCCCTCATGTGCCTGTATTTTGCTATAGCTTATGGAATTGGTCACTGAAATAGGTGCTAGCAGTCAATTTGTGTAAATGGTTGAGACCCCCTTAATGGAACTGCTAATTTATCCTTGATTTTTTTCATACCAGTGTTTTATTTATCAACTCTATGGCTTTGAACATTTTCGGTATCTGAATAAATAGATGTGCTAATAGGTTGGCACAGGTTGGGCTGGTTTAGCTTCTAGTACTTAAAATGGGAGGAGGTTTTCGAGTGCTGCATTTGGTCAGGCCATTTCTTGCATTTCTACCGGAAGTTCAAAGTGCTGACAGAAAGATCCCATTCAGAGAGAAGTTCATATATACCGTGATTTCCTTGTTCATCTTTCTGGTGTGCAGTCAGCTTCCTCTTTATGGCATACACTCTACGACTGGTGCCGATCCATTTTACTGGATGCGTGTTATTCTTGCATCAAGCCGTGGGACTGTAATGGAGCTTGGGATTACCCCGATTGTGACATCTGGGCTGGTCATGCAACTCTTGGCTGGCTCAAAGATCATTGAAGTAGACAACAATGTCCGTGAGGACCGTGCACTATTGTGAGTGTTCTTTTACTCTGATTGTTTACTTTAAATAGTTTTCTCTGCTTTAATTATTCCATGTTATGAAGAATTTGCTTTAGGTGTTCCGTATTTTGTTATTTTTCAATCTCTGCTTAGTATGCTCACTTAGGACCCTGGTTTGTTTGTTTCAATGGTGAATTGCTGGTAGTTTTTATTTGTTGAACTTGTTTTCTACTTCTGTGCTATTATGTGTTCTCAATATAGCTTGTTTGCTACTCTGGCCTGGCTAGTATTCTAATGTCTCTTGCTTTTGATTGGCTTCTAATTTTCAGAAATGGGGCACAAAAGTTGTTGGGCATCCTCATTGCGGTTGGTCAAGCTGTTGCCTATGTCCTTTCGGGGATGTATGGCAGTGTCGGTCAACTTGGTGTTGGGAATGCCATTCTTATCATAGTTCAACTTTGCTTTGCTGGAATTATTGTGATTTGCTTAGATGAACTTCTTCAGAAGGGATATGGTCTGGGATCTGGGATCTCCCTTTTTATAGCTACCAACATCTGGTAGGCTTGAAATCCATATTTCATTTACCTTTTAGCATATTGTGATCCATGGTCTTTCCGTACTTAATTTATGGTTGATTATGCAGTGAAGGCATCATTTGGAAGGCTTTCAGCCCCACAACTGTCAATAGTGGCCGGGGAGCTGAATTTGAAGGTGCCATAATTGCATTGTTCCATCTACTGATAACCAGGACAGACAAAGTTCGCGCTCTTCGAGAAGCTTTCTATAGGCAGAACCTACCAAATGTTACTAATTTGCTTGCTACAGTCTTGATCTTTCTCATTGTCATCTACTTCCAAGGTTTCCGTGTGGTTTTGCCGGTGAGATCAAAGAATGCCCGTGGACAGCAGGGATCATATCCTATTAAGCTCTTCTACACCTCTAACATGCCCATTATTCTCCAATCCGCTCTTGTCTCCAATCTTTATTTTATCTCCCAGGTAAGCTACTAGGCAATAAAAATTAAAGGCTCATAAATTCATTTCTTTTTCAATTGACATGGCACTTGTTTTCTCTGTATAGTTGCTTTACTGGAGGTATGGTGGGAATTCCTGTCAATGTGGTTTTGATTGCAGCTTGGCAGATATGGCAGCCTATTCCTTCCATGCTCAGGTCTTGGGGGAGAAAAGAAACAGAGGCGGGGAATAGAGAGAGACGACAGGGGATGGAAAAAAAAGGGAAATGGCCT